CATAGCCCCAGGGGCAGAGTGTGCCACTTTACTGGCCAGGGCATGATGTGCCATCTTAGTGTTGCAGCTGCTGCTGTGAAGGACCCTTCCCTTGTTGCTGATGTTGTGCAGTCTGTGTGTCCCAACCCAGCAAACAGCACAAAGACCAGGTGGAGTCAGTGTGTCACTGAGCTGCATCCCAGCACCACCGCTGGAGAGTGGAGCAGGTCCTGGGAGCCAAGAGGAGCACAGCTTGGGTGGGTTGTGGTACCACAGGTGGGATGATGTCTCACAGTTTAGCTGTGGCATGGTGTGCTGCTTCTGGTCTCCTTCACTGCTGGTGTTGCTGTCACCACAGCCTGTTACTGGGATGATGGCGGATTCAAGGATGGAGAGGCTCACCCTAAAAGAGGAATCATTCCACCATATCCAGGCAGCCTGGAAGAGGGACCGTGGACCAAGAGAGTGTTAGTGCAGGAGAAATGGGCTTGGACACAGCAAGAGATGACCAGGAGCAGATGATGGACAAAGCCCACATCACAGCGGTATACAGATCTGCCTGTCACTCTGTACTTCAGTGACAAAGCACTATCTCCTCCTCACACTTGTTTAGTCCTCCTTCAACTTCCTTCTCAAGGAGCCAGCAGGTGGTTGTAATACTTGTTTCCGACTTTGTTCCTTCCTCTATTTCAGTAATAAAGACCCTGATGTTACAGTTTTACCTGTCTCTGTGTTCTGTGCACTGTATTATTGTCCTGAGGCTCCAGCCACACACTGTGTGCCCCTGGTCATTGCACTCCCTTGAATAAGACCTTTACAGGCTTGCAAATTGGGTACCTTTGTGCTTGAGTGACTTGAAGGACTCTGTCCTGTAGCTCAAGCCACACACTGGTCATTGCACTCCCTTGAATAAGACCTTTACAGGCTTGCAAATTGGGTACCTTTGTGCTTGAGTGACTTGAAGGACTCTGTCCTGTAGCATGCTCCGAGGTGGCACTGTTTAAGCACAAATGGCAGCCACAACCTACACAGTAGGCTATTACATAAAAAGGAGGTGACAGTGATGCTGCTTTTGGTCATGGGCCATGATTTGGGGTGCTGATTGTCATTTTTGAAGTGTGTGTGGATTGTAAAGCATTGTGCTTTGACTTTTTGGAGAACAAGTCTTATGAGGAACGGCTGGTTGTGATTTTTTAAGTGTGTGTGTGGGTTGTAAAGCATTGTGCCTTGACTGTTTGGAGCACAAGTCTTACAAGGAACAGCTGAGGGAGCTGAGGTCGTTCAGCCTGGAGAAAAAGAACCTGAGGGGAGACCTTAATGCTCTCTACAACTCAAAGAGCCTGAGGGGAGACCTTAACGCTCTCTACAACTCCCTGAAAGGAGGGTGTGGAGAGGCAGGGGTCGGTCTCTTCTCCCAAGTAACAGGTGATTAAGATACGAGGAAATGGCCTCAAGTTGTGGCAGGGGAGGATTATACTGGATATTAGGAAAAATACTTACACTGAAAAGGTTATCAAGCATTGGAACAGGCTGCCCAGGGAAGTGGGGGAGTCACCATCCCTGGAGGGGGTTAAAAGACGGGTAGACGTGGTGCTTAGAGATATGGTTTAGTGATGGTTTTTGTCAGGGTTAGGTTGATGGTTGGACTCGATGATCTGAAAGGTCCCTTCTGGCCCAGGCAATTCTGTCATTCTATGGTGTGGTAGGTGGATTGCAAAGTCTGCAAGGAGCGGTGAGGTTTTTCCATCTGATCTCTCCAGCCTGTCCTGCTCAGTTTGGTTTCCATCCCTTTGTGGTGATCACCATTGCTGGGCACCTCCTTCTCCCCACTCACCTTAAAGGTGCTGTTGTACAGGGTGTATTTGGGGGAGCTTCATTCCCCAAACTTGGGGCCTGTGTATTAGTTGCAGTGATCCCTACCAGTCCTTTTTATGGATCTGCCGCTGTATTTATGAGTTCAAGTTGATGAGGTTTATAAGTTCTTCTGCAATTTCTGTAACCAGTTCCTTACGAGCGTGTATTGGAGCCGCAGGGTGTATTTGGGGGAGCTTCATTCCCCAAACTTGGGGCCTGTGTATTAGTTGCAGTGATCCCTACCAGTCCTTTTTATGGATCTGCCGCTGTATTTATGAGTTCAAGTTGATGAGGTTTATAAGTTCTTCTGCAATTTCTGTAACCAGTTCCTTACGAGCGTGTATTGGAGCCGTGCTGTGGTAGAAAGAAGCAGTTAGTTCTACACGGGGAGCGGTTGCTGGCTCTCCCCTGTGATACATGATTCTTTAAAGATGCCTGGGAGGCTTCATGGCCAGTGGCTGATACTATTCCATGGTGCAGGACTCCAGCTGGTGTGTAATAGTGTTATTTTCTGAAATCCAGTTCAGGTTTTCTTTGCCCGTGATGAGCAGCTATGTAAAGAAGCAGCGTTTAGGGTGAGGATGGAGTGGGAGGTACTGCTGGAAGCAAGCCTGCAGGGGATGCTTTTGAATCAGCCACCTGCTGACTCCAGATGGTGAAGGACCGCACTTGTCCCAGTGACATGTCCCTTGTCCAAAGTGGTGGCTATAAATGCTGCTGTGTTTCTGTGTGCATGCCTCTGGGATCCGCCGAACAGAGAGAGGAACACCTGCAGTCAGCAAATGGCTTTTTAAGCTACTGATTGTTGCTGTTGTTATTAAACATGGCAAAAAGAAGTGGAGGGAGAAAAAGAGCTGAAGACCTCCCATCTGAAGTTTAGGGGCTGATAATCCAAAGGACACTTCCTATCCCTTCTCCCCTTCCCTCACCTTTTCTCCCAGGCAGTCGAGTTTTAACTGTGCTGTTGAGTGTTAACAGCAAGGAAGGAGAAGGGAATTATTACACTAGTTACTTAACATTTTTTTTTCCTTTTGGCTAATTATATGGTTTGGTGAGTATGATTAAGACAAGCGTGAATTTCATGTTCTTTAAGCCTTGATTTTTAGGGACCGATTGACTTGATGCCGGGCTTGGAATGAAATCTGGAGGGTGGTGTATTGAATTAGACTTTGTTCTGGTGAAGCTGGAGACACGTGTGGCAGAACTCTGCCCATCAAACTGCTCAAACATAAATTATCTCCTAAAATCCTAACTGGCTGTGAGGCAGGTTGCAGGGAAAACCAGAGGATGCACCAGCCCAAGGCTCCCAGAAGCAACAGGGATGTAGCCTTTTTTTATTTATCTTTGCCTTAACAAAATGCCCATGAGATGTGGAGTGTTATAGCGATTTTTCCTGCGGGACAGATACAACTCAGTGTATGTTAACTCATATTCAGTATTTCCTTCATTCTGATAGAATTTGATTCCTGCCACCGGAGAAAGCCAGTGTGTAAAGAATGGGATGTTTTTGCCTGAACTTTGAGATGCTGTTCAGCGTAATGGATGAAAACCAAATATGCACTGCCAGCCTTGCCTTTGACAAAATACAGCCAATCCTTTCTCTGTATTGTTTTCTGCCTGCAGCCAAATGGTAGTTAGTTGTCTGTGATGATGCTTAAAATCCTGGAGAGGAGGAGAAATGCAGAATTACCACTTTTTGCCCTGAAGAATTTGGAGAGGCAGCTGCAGTATAAAGGATTCTTTTCATTCTATTATATTATATTATACTGTTGTCGTGTGCACAGTGATCCTGCTGAGCTTGGTTCCTCTGGAAAGCTGGCTTTTCACCCTGGTGTTCCTGTGTGCCAGGAGGAGGAGAAATCAGCATAGGAAGGACATAGACCTGTTGGAACAGGTCCAGAGGAGGGCCGCAAAGGTGATCAGAGGGCTGGAGCACCTCTGCTATGAAAACAGGCTGAGAGAGTTGGGGTTGTTCAGCCTGGAGAAGGCTCCGGGGAGACCTTATGGCCCCTTCCAGTACCTAAAGGGGCTACAAGCGAGATGGGGAGGGACTCTTGATCAGGGAGTGGAGTGATAGAACGAGGGGTACTGGTTTTAAACTGAAAGCGGGGAGATTTAGATTAGGGCTTAGGAAGAAATTCTTTCCTGTGAGGGTGGTGAGACACTGGAACAGGTTGCCCAGGGAAGTTGTGGCTGCCCCATCCCTGGAGGCGTTCAAGGCCAGGCTGGATGGGGCTTGGAGCAACCTGGTCTGGTGGGAGGTGTCCCTGCCCAGGGCAGGGGGGTTGGAACTTCGTGATCTTTAAGGTCCCTTCCAACCCAAACCATTCTATGATTCTATGAAATGCTTTCCTTACCATTGCCACATATAAGAAGTGCTAAAGCAAGTGATCCCTAGGATCTGAGGCTGGGTTACAGTAATTTAGAATATGCTGCACTTCATAAAGACTCTGCTTTATAACATGACAGTTACTTTAGTAATACTTTTGTTTGGAATAAATGGGGTATGTTCTTTTTCTGTAACAACCCTGGAAAGGGAGCGCAGGTAGCCCTTATCCTGGCAGCTGGGATATATCTTGTTGGAGCAGGGCTCTGAGCAGCACCTTTATCTTCCTGCCATAGACATACTGTAATAAATGCTGTTACACAAGGTAGCTCTCATACTTGAAATAAACAGTCCAGTAAAATTCCTACAGCAGAGAGCTCTGAAAAGGGTGGTTTGTTGGACACAGGGCAGCACCTCTGCCTTAACTGAGCTGAGGCCTTCCAGTTCTTATTTTTCTACAAGAGTAAGAAATGTATTTTTAAGGGAAAACTAAGAATTTCCCCTAATCTTCTGAATTTAGCAACTGATCCCTAACTTTGTAATACTCTTCTCTCCATCAGGAGCTGGAAGCTTCTGTTAATTCTTGTGTAAATTAATTTGTAAAACTACCATGAGTGTGAAAAGTGTGCTGAAGCAGACAAAAAAGGAGTAAAAAGGAGTAAGGGGCCACCTTCTGCCCACAGAGCTAAAGATTATAGATAGAATGATCTTGTATCATCACAACAGCTCTGCATTAATATGACAGACCTGTGCTCTCTTGTTAGCAGATTAACCTTGCACTGTAAACAACAACAAAAAGATAATTAACTGATGTTTTTTTGTTTTGTTTTTCTTTTCCAAGGTTCGGATCATCCACACAGCCTGTCTTACAAACTGGAACTCGGATCAGACCAGGAAATCCCATCTGACTGGTACCCATTTGCTACCGTCCAGTTCGTCGTTCATGATACCTGTGCCTCAGGAACAGAAGTCAAGTCACTGGGCGTAGAGAGTGACCTGCAGCCCCAGAAACACCTGGTTCAGAAAGCTTTTTACAATTGCCAGGTATTTTTAGAGCTTTTCCTCCTCTTCTTCCTCCCCATTTGCCCATACAGTGTTTCCAAGTGCTTTGTATTCAAAACGTATCTTGCATGCACTTGTGATAATGACTTTGAGCAAAAGAATCATTAAAAAATAATTCCTTGTCTGATCAAAGATGATGCTGAAAAACAGAACTGCAAATGCAGCATTGTTTTTCCTCAGCTGAGCTATTTTTGGGAGCAGTGGTTTTGAAATGTATTGGGTCTGGAAATGTTTTGATTCCGAGTCAAAGCTTTTATTGGTGTGATTGCTGCAGTTTACACTTTCAGTGCCCAACTGTTTGCTAATTCTACCTGTTTTTTTGTTGTTGTTGTTGTTTTCTGACTACAGGTTGAAATTGAAAAGAAGTGGATTAGGCTTGATGGAGAAGATCCGGATAAGGCTGGCAATTGCCTAATGCAGTAAAAGAGGACAGGAGGCACCGTCATAGGATATTAGTAGGAATCAATTTGCATAGGAAATTCTATTGTTAGAAGCAGCGCAGTGACCTAGTTTAGGATAAACACAGTCATTGAATTATTTTCTTTTTTTAGAGCTTTTGGGTTGGATTCTGCAAACCAGTACTGGTTTGACTGGCCTGCGTTCAAGTAAACTTCCTGTCACGGGAATACTGGTATGAGTAAGGTCTCCTTGTAAAGAGCTGCAGGATGTGAGCACTTAATTGACTGATTGTAATATATTGTTTTCCTGTTGCGTATCTATGACTTGGGAATGATCTCATACCCTGTATTGAAACCTAATGGCACTACTCAAAGAGTTCATGTCACTTGGACATGTAATATTCAGCAGTAAAGTCTGCCAGAGCACTTTTGTGCAGACCAGCATCTGTGTAAGGTCCATCAGGACCAATTACATTTTTTTTTAGTGGTGTTTGAAAGCTGAAGTCCCCCATGTTTCTGCTCCCCTCGATGTATGTGAACAGAACAAGTTGTAATATTATTCTTGACAAGAGCCTCAGTTAATGAGTTGAAAACTGAGTGATTTCATTGGTAAAATGGGAAAAGTTCCTCTGCAATAATATCCTTCATTTTTCTGTGGCTGCAAGCATTTCCTCCCCGGCACTTTATAGGTTCATTCAAAGTAATCTCTTGGGCAAAAAAAAAACATATGGCAGATGTGATTGAAATTTCTGTGCCAGCATTAGAAAAATCTTACTGCTGCAGCCAGTGTGAGAAGGGGCGGATCCTCAGCAAGTGTAAATCAGCCCAGACCTGTTTAATTTGATGAAGCTTTTGAGAATTTCCACCAGTGGAGGGTTTTCCCCACCAACTGAAGAAATGGCTGGTTCCTACTGTTTGCTTTGGGTGTCCTTTAGGATGCAAGTTCCGGGTGTTAGTTTGGAAACTGCAGGATCTGGTGCTTTGAGTAATTGTGAAGACAGTCTTTTCATGCATTGGAAGATGTTCTCATGCTACTTGCTTTAAAAGGCATTTTTTGTGGGGAAACAGTGCAGGAATGGACCATGGCAAGAGAAGTGAAGTTGTGAGGCTTCAGCAGGCAGCTTGAGCTACTAATACCGTATCAATGCATTAACAGTGTTTTCAACAAATTATTGGCATTTAGGGAAAGGTTTTCATGCTTCCCCTCAGCCATTATCCCCTTTGTCATTTTTTGCAGGATGTAATTTCAGGTCTGAAACCACCTGATAAATTAAAAAAGCACTCCTGATAGTTTTTGGGGTTGTTTTTTGTTTTTTTGGCTGCAGTTTTCCTAAAATTATCCTTACTTCAAACTGAAATTAGTGGAGAACAAAAATATAGCAATGCACTAAGGCTCACTTTATATTTTGTCACAGCTTGTAACTGTTTATGTGAACACTGTGTAAAAATATGGATAAATGTTATTCCCCAAAAGTAGAAATATGTGGGATATGCACTGAGAAAATTACCAGTCTGAGGAAACAGAAGGCCATAATATGAACCTAGTTCATCACAATAAACTTTTCCCCCATTTGGAAGCTGAGAATGAAATGGGTAATAGATTCTCTAGTAAGTCCTGAGGGCAGGTTTTTTATGGGTATTGCCTTGCCAAAGCCCCAAATAAACTATGATGGTATTTTGGCTTCTCTATATATCCCTTTTTATTAGCAGATTATATTATTATAAATCTAAGCAAGCATTTGAGTGTAGCAGCGATCCAAATACGTCTCAGCTTTTGCATCCTCCATCCACGTTTTGACTGGAGAAGCCATTAGCACCTTCAAGTCATGTTTGGTTTGTTTTATTCATATTTAATTTTCGTTTTATGTACTTCTCAGCTGAACTAAGGGGCGCAGTGTATGCTAGGGTAAAGCATTTGTACTTTGCATTGTGTCAGCGCGCTGCAGTTCACTGAAGTTCATGGTTATGCCAGAGCTACAAAATCTATTACCCTCTTCGGTTTTCTGGGCTGCTTTTCTTCTCTCAGGTGCCTGCTGTATCTTGGGATGTCTAGGACAGGCTGAGAGAGGTGGGGCTGTTCAGCCTGAAGAAGAGAAGGCTCTGGGGAGACCTTATAGCCCTTTCCAGTCCCTAAAGGGGCTACAGGAGAGATGGGGAGGGACTCTTGATCAGGGAGTGGAGTGATAGGATGAGGGCTCGTGGTTTTAAACTGAAAGAGGGGAGATTTAGAGGAGATCTCAGGAAGAAATTCTTTCCTGTGAGGGTGGTGAGACACTGGAACAGGTTGCCCAGAGAAGCTGTGGCTGCCCCATCCCTGGAGGGGTTCAAGGCCAGGCTGGATGGGGCTCTGAGCAACCTGTTCTGGTGGGAGGTGTCCCTGCCAGTGTCAGGGGGGTTGGAACTCCATGATCGCTAGGTTTCCTTCCAACCCAAACCGTTCAATGATTCTATGTGTTTAATAAGCCCACGTAGCATTGGCCCCTCAAGGCAGAAGCTATTGCTTTGAATGGCCTAAGTGATGAACAGCCACGTTACAAGTTGTCTTTCCTGCTGGTGAGTCTGTGTTGTATCTGGTGTGTTGCAAATGATCATTCAGCCTTAGTGAACTCGTTAAGGTCAAGCTACAACTTTATCTGTCTCGCAGGCTCTTGGATTTCCATCTGAGTCCTGCAAGACTCGCCATTAACTTTAATCAGAATTGGATCAGGATCACAGGGAGTTCATTCCATGGAAATATTGCCACACTAAAAGCAAGTTACTCCACTCAATGCATGGCTTTCAGTTTAAACCTGACAATTAGTGCAGCCTAAGGCTGAATAACTACCCTGTTCAGTCTCAAACTGATGCTTGTATGCTTTGCTGGCAGAATATTTAAAAATAGGCTGCAGTTTAATGAAAGAAAGTTTGGGTTGTCTGCCTTTCCCCCCCCCCCCCCCCCCC